CGACTACTACTATTACTACTACTACTACTACTACTACGACTACGAGTATTACTACTACTACTACTACTACTACTACTACTACTACTACTACTACTTTCAGTACGACTACAACTATTATTACTACTACTACTACTACTACTACGACTAATACTACTACTACTACGACTACCACCACCACTACCACCACGACTACTACGACTACTACTACGACTACCACTAGTACCACTACGACGACCACCATTATTGCTTCTACTTCTACTACTACTACTACTACTACTACTACCACTACGACTACTACTACCACTCTGAGTATTACCACTACTATTATTATGATTACGTTTCCTACCCAGGGCTGCACGAAGCCAGTCCTCGGGCACGCGTCACGGCGTTTTCTACTGGCCGCCGGAGCGGTGCGACCGCATCCCGCCGAACACCGTCGAGGACGCCTTCGGGGACGTCGATTTTGTGTTCCAGTTCGGCTACCAGGACGAAGAGGAGGCAGGAGTCGACGGTCGAGCACCGAGGTTCGATGTCTTCTTTCGGAGGGTTTGAAGGTTCTTTTGCCGTTTTTCGTCGCCGCGGCTGGACGCACTACGGAAAACTGGCTTTGATAGACACCAGGAGAGGTCTGGGGACTGACTTTGGGCGGACTTCGAGGGAGGCGGGGGAGAGGCGCCCGCCCATCCACCCTTGTTGGGGTTCAGCTACCAGGACGAGGAGGATAAGGAGGAGGAGGGCGGCTCGGGCCGCAGGGCCAGGAGGAGGATCAGGAGGACGAGGAGGGGGAGGATCAGGAGGATCTGGAGGATGATCAGGTCACAAGGCAGCGGTGTTCGGCGCGGTGATGCGGACCAAGGAGCGCTGGAGCTACGCTCGAGGAGGAGGGTGGTTCGGACATGCGGGTGCGACAGTGGCAGGTGTATCACATCGTGCGTGGCTGGTGCCATTCGCCTCTGCCCGAGTCGGAACCTTCGGGCCGGCTTCAACAGGAGGCCAGCCCAGGACGGACAGGAACACCAGGTTCGCCTTGCTGCGGATAGCCCCGCGCAGTGCCGTCGAGTGCGCCCAGTCTGCGGCCAGCACGGGTTGGAGGAGTGGCTTGTTTGGAGGCACCCGACCCTCTGGGCCGGCCTTGGGCCAATCAGGCCTGCAGCGGGTACACAGCAGGCACTCGTCGAACGTTGTAAGGATAAATGCTTTGTCTCTGACCCAGTTTGGCCTTCAGCAGTGTAGCTCACCTTCCGCCTTTCGCAACGCATTATTCGTATGATGTTGCTGTTTTCCGGTTCAAGCGGAGGTCTAGATGGACCCACAGCTTGTGTTTGCCGCCGACCACATGGTAGCTTCGGGCCTCCAAGCTGCCACCCTCGTCAGGCCGCTGGGCGACTGTCCTTCTCGCGTCTGCGCCGTGGAGGCCCGCGGAGCGGCGGGGCTTCACCGGGAACGGTCAGTGCTCCCGACTCTCACGAAGTCCTTGGCGCTCATCCAGGAAGCTTACCACGAGTGCACCCTCGCGCGGGCGCAGCTGCGAGCCGACCAGGAGGCGCGCCCTCCCGACAGCTCTGGAGTGTGGCTGTGGGTTATGTTATTATTCTTCTTCTTCGGCTGTGTCGTCGGTGCGCTGGTGACTCTCGCCATCTCGTGCTGCCTCTCGATATCATGTCGAGCCGCTCGAGGACGGACCCAGAAGACCGAGACCCGACCAGCCCTGCCTGACCAGCTTGCGCCCGTGTCTGAGCAACGAGCGCGCACTCCTTCCCAGCTGAGAGCCACTGGCAAATGCTAAGACGTCGGACACTGCTCAGCGCCAAGTCTTGATAAGTTTCTGTGGCGGTCCGAACAATCTCGCCATCAATCACCGCGCGCTGCTCTTCGCCACTCCATCGCCGGGAAAATGGATCGCGGGGGCGCCCGACTTCGATGCGCAGTACGCCGACCTCGCCGAGCACAGCGTCATCCCTTTCGGGCGCGACGAGCCCCTCCCCCGACGGCATGAAGCTCAGACCTACGCGTTCGGCGCGCCGATCGACCCCGTAGCCCACGCGCGCGTGCGCCGAGCGGGCCGCGACCTCCCGGAGGTCTTCGGCCTCGTCGGAGCGGCGGGCGCGACCCCGCAGGGCGGGCGCCGGCGAGTCTCGGACCCGGCCCGCGCCGCCTTCGCCGACGAGACCCCCGAGGCCGCGATCGGCGATCGCAACCAGATGGTCATCCGCGAGACCGCCGCGCTCGCGCGCACCGACGAGGCGCAGATCGCAGCCACGCTGGTCGAGAAGGCCGACCTCGACTAGTGCATGCGCCTGAAGGCCACGGGCCCCGGTCGCGCCCCCATGCTCTTCGGCGACGAGCACGTCGGCGGCCTCCCACATGTCGTTCCAGGAGATCGCGAAGCGGTTGAAGAGGGGTTCGAGACTGGGGTGGCCCTTCCAAGGCAACTCGGCGGCGCCCGAGCTCCAGCGGGCACTCGTGGCGTCGGGCCACGACTACGTCAGCCACCATCTCGACTGGCGGTCGAAGTCGGGCGTGAACATGAATGACGCGGTCTGAAGGATCCACCGGCGCCTCTCGGAGGCCCCGGCTCAGTTCGAGACGCGCGACCAGCTCGGCCCCGCCCGCGTCACAGGCATCGAGTACCTGAGTCGATGGCTGTTCGAGATCGAGACGGGCTTCCGCCGCAACCCGGCGACCCCCGCCTTCGCGAACCTCGAGGGGATCGTCGCGGCGCCGCTGGGAGAGGACGGCCGCGCCCCCTTGCCCGAGCTCGGCAGCTTCGGCTCGGGCCCTCAGCGGGGCGCGGCCCAGCGCCTGAAGCAGATGCGGCTCGGGCACGAGGAGACGGGCCACCTCCGCCACGGCGGCGGCGGCGGGCGCGGCGACGAGGGCGGCGGCCGAGGCCGGGGCGTCGACGGCGCCGCCGACGGCGGCCACGGCCCTTGGGGGCCGCGGCGGCGAAATCCAACGGGCGGAGGTTGGCTCGGCTCCGACCCCACCATCATCGGTTGCCTCGCCACCGCGCTCGACGAGCTCGACACGGGCACCGAGCTGACGGGCGGGACAACCGCGCGCTCCGAAGTCGCGCCCACGGCGTCCCCACTTCCCCTTCCGGCGCCACGCCGGCGGGAGTTTGCGCGCGGCGGTCGGCCCCGACTGCCGTCGTGCGAGACGCGGCGCAGAGGGGCCCTTCGATCCCTCAATGACTCGCCGACTCGGGCCCTCCGCGCCCATCGCGCTCCTGCGGGGCGGCGCCCCACGATGGCACAACGCCCCGCGCTGCGACGGGCGCGGGCGAAGGCGCCTCGCTTCCCCGATCGGCCCGACCTCAGGCCGAGCGACGCCTTCTACAGCCTGCTGAGGCCCACGGACACGCATTCAGATGAACCTCGGCACCCACGACCACATGATCCAGATAAGCCGCGAGTTCTGCGCGGGTTAGTGACCCCACGTCCTCTTCGCGATCGGCCACCTCTTGAAGGCCCCCAGGCCCCGGACCACGCCGATCGGGCCATCTTCCGCTCGGCCGCCGAGGTCGACACACTGGCCGAGCAGGGCGTCATCGCCCCAGCGCGGCCCCACTGGGGCCCCGTCTTCAGGCACGATCGCGCCGCGCGGCTGGACTTCGCCACGCGCCTGCACAAGGCGGGCCCGGTCGGCTTCAGGTCGGGCACGCGCTCTCGCATCGGAGCCTTCTTCGCGGCGAAGAAGGACGGCATGTCGCGGCGGGTGCTGGGCGGGCGCGAGGCGTCGAGCCTTCGCCGCCGGCCGCCGCGCTCGTCGCTGGGCTCCGCTGGCGCCCTGGCGGGGCTCGACCTCTCTCCCCAGGCGCTTCACCGAGCAGGGCTCGGCGATATCGACGTCGACCCCCACGAGACGCGGGCATCGACCTCCACGACGGCTGCTACCAGTTCGTCGACGACGACCTCGCGGACTGGCTCGGCTTCGACTTCCCCGAGCTGGCGGCCGCAGCCCAGACGACCATTTCGTCGACTCACGCTCGTATTGCAAGGTGGCGGCCGACGCGAGGATGTCCCACGTTTTCCGCCGCCTGCCGACGGGCTGGAGCCGGGCCCCCTTGGCCCCATCAGCTCGTGGCCGAGTCAGTGGGGCGGGGCGCCGCCCAGCGTTTGGCGGGCTCACCGCACCCGCGGAGAAGCAGCGGGCCCCGCCTGATTCCCCGGGACGGTCTCTGATCTCACCTTACGTCGACAATGCCAACATCCTCGCCCGCTGCGCTGCCGATGAGGACGCAGCCCTCGCCGAGGTCTGCGCCGAGCTGGACCGCCGGCAGCTGGTCTACCACGAGCGCGTCGAGCCCACGCGCGCGCGAGCCCGTCGGCGTAATTTTTGACGGACAGGGGCGGCGGCTACGGCACACCGCCTCGCGGGTTTGGAAGCTCTACCCAGGGCTTCAGCATCTCATCAGCGCGGGCGGGGCGACGGGCTTCGCTCTCCGCATCATCTACGGCCACCTGGTTAATTGTTCACGTCGACGCGCCCCGCCCTCGCCGCGCTGGACAAGAGTTACCACTTCATCGCGGGGCGCCGCGACCCCTTCGACCCACGAGGCCGCCCTCACGGACGACGAGCTGCTCGACACCTTCAGCGTTCGAGAGCGCTGGCGTTTCTTGGACGCGGAGCCCGCCCCCCCCCCCCCCCCGGGCCTGGAGGGCTGGGCGCCGACGGCCAATGGGGGCCGAGGCGACCGCCGCGCTCCAAGCCAGCCTGGTGGGGGGCCGTGCCTTCGACTACTCCTACGACTACCTGGGGGCGCCGCGCCTCGATCGCCGGCCCGCCCGATCGGCCGCCATCGAGGCCCCCAGCGCCGTGGAGCCCGCGGCGGACCAGGCGTTCCGGCGGGCCCGCTGGGCTCTTATTGTTCGAGGCGCCCGGCGGCGCGCAGCCCCGATCCACGCGAAGGAGGCCCGCACGCAGCTGCTGGGCCTGGCCCGCGCCTCGCGCAACGCGCGCATGCACGGGCACCGCGTCGGCTGCCTGGGCAACATGGCCGCGCCCCTCAGCTTCGAGAAGGGGCGGGCCCGCGACTTCGCCCCGCGGCAGTTGCGCTGCTCGGCGGCGGCCCGCCAAATCGCGACTGACACCCAGCGGAGGCAGCGCCGCGCGGAGTCCGACCGCAACCCGACGGACTTCGACTCCAGGGCGGCCGACCGCGGAGAGGTTGGGCCGACGCGGCCGCAGCGGGGTCACCCTGGGGCCCCGGCCGCCATCGAGGCCCAGGGCCCCCGCCGCTGGCGGCCAGCCCTCGGCAGGCCAGCGCCCTCGCCGCTGGGCCCGCAGGCGGCCTGTCGCAGCACGAAGCCCAGCGACGCCTGGCGCGCGTTGCTGGCCTCCACGCTCGCTGGGCTGGCGCGCGGGCGGGCCGAGCGGCCGCGCGGGCGCGCTGCCCGCCGGGGGCCCCCCAGCGGGAGCCGCGGGCGTCGCGCCTAATGCCTTCGCGCACGCCGACTCCTCAGGACGCGCCGCGTGCCTCCGCAGAGACCGCGGGGCGCAGCGCCGCGCCCGCCTCGGACGTCGCCCGCAAAGGCCGACCACGCGTTGCCGCTCCATCGGACCGGGCCTTCTGCGAGCTCCTCGCAGGCTGCGCCCGACCCGCCGCCGCCCCCCGGGATCTGGGCCTCCAGGTCACGGCCCCCGTCGACCTCAGCAACGGGCCGCACTTCGATGTTCTAGACTACCGGGTCTTCCGAGCTTTGGCCACTTGGATCCGTGGGCGCAAGATCTAGCGGGTCCACTTCGGAATCCCGTGCACGGCATGGAGCCAAGCAGCTGGGGCCGCTCGTCATCAGCATACCCGACAGGCCGACCCTCGTCATTACCGACCACTCCGATCTCAGCGGCATCGGTCGCACCTGCCCCAGTATGCATGGGCGCGAGATCCTGGAAGGCAAGGTCTCAGTCACAGTCGCTGGCTGGGTTCAAAACCGTTGGAAGACCTCGCTTGCTGGGGCCTACCCGCCCACTCTTTGCTGAGCATGGGGCAAGGCCCTGGGCGCCCTCGTGCCCTCCGCGGCCCGTCGACGGCATGGGGCTCTGGCGCTCGCCGACCAGTGGGAGGCCGCCTGACGCACCGCAGCGGGGCGGCCGCTGGCCTAGGCCCCGAGCCTGTGCCAGGGACTTGCCGGCGCCGAAATTACATCGCGCCCAAGATCCTCGGCGCCCGCCGACGCCAGCGAGCCACGTCACCGCGGCCGTTGCGGGCAGGGCATACCCGCGCGAGACGGCCACCATCGTTCCTCTCAGCGTCGACGACGGGGGCGAGCCACGCCCACGGAGGCCCAAGAACAACGACCACGACATGACGCTTATCTTCGGGGACCAGGCCAGCTTCAAGCGCGGCCGGGCCTTCGCGTCGGAGCTGCTGGTCAGAGTCAAGAACCAGCGCGGTCCGAGCCAGCCGCTTTTCCTTTAAAAGCTGCACGAGCATGAGAGGTTCTTCAATGCTGCAGTCTATTCATTTCGCCTGAACCGTCGGGACATGATTCCTCATTGCCCCCGCCACGGCGGACCCTCTGTTGACTTCGCCAAGGGCCTCCGCATCGCCCCCGAGATTCAGAAGCGTGGAATGTGGCGGGCCGCGTCTTCGGTCCGACGCTACGAGAAGGCTGGCACCCTGATGCGCCAGTTGGAGGAGATCCCTCGACAGTTGCGCTCCCCACAGGTGCTCACGAGGCAGAAGGCTCGCTCCAGTAGTTAATTGTCTGGCCTATCTGTCTGTTCGGCACCCACCTCGGCCGCCCTCCAGTCCATCATATAGGGTGTGGGCATGCCAACTGGGTCGTGATACAACCTTTTCCGAGCTCCGAGGTTTGCACTGACATGATATTGTGCTTCGCACGTGCTGGCACCCTGTTGTACATTGTTGGCTTCTGAAGCACGCTTACAGAATCGACTTATCTTCAGGGAAGCCTGGAGAAAAACGAATGATTGTTGAGCTCTGGTGTGCGGCGTCGCCTGGGCTCTCCCTCGGCGGGCCACGATTTGTCTCCGACCTGCTTTGGCCTTCGGCAGTGTAGCTCACCGTTCGCAATGTATGATTTGTATGCTGTTGTTGTTAAGCGGCCCACCCGCCCACAGCCACCCTCTGCCGAGGGGCATGCCAACTGGGTCGTGTTACAATATATGTCGAGCTTCGTGGTTGCACTGAAATTATCTTGTGCTTCGCACGTGCCAGCGCTGTGTTGTACATCGTTGGTTTCTGAAGCACGTTTGCAGAATCGACCTATCGTCAGGGTAGCCTGGAGAAAAACGAATGATCGTTGAGCTCCGGTGCGCGGTGTCGCCTGCGTTCTCTCTCTCTCTCTCTCTCTCCCTCCCTCTCTCTCTCTCTCTCTTTCTCTTTCTATATATATGTCTATATCCATAGTTATCCCACTCTCTCTCTCTCTTTCTCTCTCCTTCTCGGGGGCCATCTGTATATATACACGTTTCTATACATAGAGATGGAGAAAGAGAGAGAGTGTGAGAGAGAGAACAACAATACCCTGGCGACGTACCCAACCCTGCGCAATGCGGGGCAGGATTAGCTTGGGAGATTTGACGAGAAGGCGGCGACGTGACATGGACGCATATACTTCTGCGAGCGGCATTCGGAAGGCTCGCGGATCCAAATCAAGGGAAAAACGATGAGTAGCTAATTGAACCCCTGAGTCACTAAGGAAGGCGCAAGGTCCAAAAGGAGAATGTGGGCAAGGGGCTTGAAACGTCGGCGGGGCAACAACATGACATGGCCGCCCAGGGATGGCAAGGTCCTGCTCAGGTCCGCGCAGTGCCTAACACCGCTGGACCCACCAGTAGCCTTCGAAAGTGGCGAGCCCACCAGCAGCCTTCGAAAGTGGCGACAGTCTCGCAGATCGCAGCCCCCCAGGGACGGCGACGTCTCGCTCAGGTCTGCGCGGTGCCTTACTCCGCTGGACCCACGAGCAGCCCTCGACAGTGGCGACAGTTTCGCGATCGCAGCCCCCCAGGGACAGCGAGGTCTACCTCAGGTCTGCGCGGTGCCTCACACCGCTGGACCCACGAGCAGCCTTCGACAGTGGCGACGGTTTCGCAGATCGCAACCCCCCAGGGACGGCAAGGTCTACCTCAGGTCTGCGCGGTGCCTCACTCCGCTGGGCCCACGAGCAGCCCTCGAAACTGGCGGCAATTTCGCAGATCGCAGCCCCCCAGGGACGGCGAGGTCTACCTCAGGTCTGCGCGGTGCCGCACACCGCTGGACCCACGAGCAGCCTTCGAAAGTGGCGACAATTTCGCAGATCGCAGCCCCCCAGGGAAGGTGAGGTTTTGCTCAAGTCTGCGCGGTCCTTCACTCCGCTGGACCCACGAGCAGCCCTCGAAAGTGGCGACAGTTTCGCAGATCGCAGCCCCCCAGGGACGGCGAGCTTTACCTCAGGTCTGCGCGGTGCTTCACTCCGTTGGACCCAACAGCAGCCCTCGAAAGTGGCGACGGTTTCGCAGATCGCAGCCCCCAGGGACGGCGAGGTCTACCTCAGGTCTGCGCGGTACCTTACTCCGCTGGACCCACCAGCAGCCCTCGAAAGTGGTGACATTTTCGCAGATCGCAGCTCCCAAGCGACGGCGAAGAGAGGGCAGGAGGAGGGAGGCGGGAGGAGGAGAAGACACGACCGCAGTGCTCTATTCAACACGAATACCGAACCAAGGAGGGTTGGGAAAAAACGTAAATATGAGGAGGACGAGGAGGAGGAGGAGGAAGAGGAGCCGGAGGAGGAGGAGGAGGCTGCATAGGAGGAGAAGGAGGAGCGGAAGGAGGAGGGGGGAGGACTAAGAGGGGACGAACAGGGGCAGGGACGGGAGGACGGGAGGAGGGATACCCAGGACGGGCGCTTGGCCGCGAAAGACCCGCAGAAGTACTTGCCCTGGCCTTGGGAGGGCTTCAAATCGGAGAAATGGAAGACTCGAGTACGCCGGGTTTGCCGACGTTTTTTTACGAGGGCGACGTGGATTTCGACGGTCCAGTTGCCGTGGGATGTTTGCAGCGGGAGCTCGCGTTCAGATTGGATCTCGTCATTTTCATGGTGGCCCCGTTAGGCCAACACGAGCCCCCCGAACCCGAGTCTTACGTCTCCCAGATCGAAGCATGCACCAAATCGTTTGGCAGGCCAAGAAGCTCGATGTGTGTGTGTTGTGTCTTGTGTGTTGTGTGTTGTGTGTTGTGTGGTGTGTGGTGTGTGGTGTGTGGTGTGTGGTGTGTGGTGTGTGGTGTGTGGTGTGTGGTGTGTGGTGTGTGGAGTGTGGTGTGTGGTGTGTGGAGTGTGGTGTGTGGTGTGTGGTGTGTGGTGTGTGGTGTGTGGTGTGTGGTGTGTGGTGTGTGGTGTGTGGTGTGTGGTGTGTGGTGTGTGGTGTGTGGTATGTGGTGTGTGGTGTGTGGTGTGTGGTGTGTGGTGTGTGGTGTGTGGTGTGTGGTGTGTGGTGTGTGGTGTGTGGTGTGTGGTGTGTGGTGTGAGGTGTGTTGTGTGTTGTGTGTTGTGTGTTGTGTGTTGTGTGTTGTGTGTTGTGTGTTGTGTGTTGTGTGTTGTGTGTTGTGTGTTGTGTGGTGTGTGGTGTGTGGTGTGTGGTGTGTGGTGTGTGGTGTGTGGTGTGTGTTGTGTGGTGTGTGGTGTGTGGTGTGTGGTGTGTGGTGTGTGGTGTGTGGTGTGTGGTGTGTGGTGTGTGGTGCGTGGTGTGTGGTGTGTGGTGTGTGGTGTGTGGTGTGTGGTGTGTGGTGTGTGGTGTGTGGTGTGTGGTGTGTGGTGTGTGGTGTGTGGTGTGGTGTGTGGTGTGTGGTGTGTGGTGTGTGGTGTGTGGTGTGTGGTGTGTGGTGTGTGGTGTGTGGTGTGTGGTGTGTGGTGTGTGGTGTGCGTTGTGTGGTGTGTGGTGTGTGGTGTGTTGCGTGTTGTGTGGTGCGTGGTGCGTGTTGCGTGTTGCGTGGTGCGTGGTGTGTGGTGCGTGGTGCGTGGTGCGTAGTGCGTGGTGCGTGTTGCGTGTTGCGTGT